CCTGCTCTGTCTGATTTACTCTTCACCCTGGAATGGGCATTGGATCGTCGCATCAACGATTCAGGAACCGCGATGGCACGGACCACGAATCATGAGATCTGAACGAAATACAAAAAAAGAAGGAACAAAAGTACCGAAATTCGCAACTTTTTTGTGGGGTTTTCGAAATTTTATGCTTTTTTTACGATTTTTCTTCTTAATCGGAGATCGAGAGGGCCACCGGAGAAGGTCGTCGCCGCCCTCAGTCTCCGTTGTCGTACTCGAGAAGGTTAAAAAAATCAAAATTGAAAAAGAAAATTGATCGTTAAAGCGCGATATTACGAACTTTATCCCTACCGGGTCAATTGTAAGTGTAACCCGCTTCGTTATCCGGGTCAAGCTTTACCCGCTTCGTTATCCGGGTCAAGCTTTACCCGCTTCGTTATCCGGACCCTTCAAATCAAACAGAGACTCCGTGGAACTCAAGTGAAAGATGAGAAAACGTGCCCGACATGAACGATGAAAGAAAAGGATTTGACTCTTACGTACCATAGCCAGAAGCCCTCCATTTCATTAATAATTGGTAACTCAATTCTAATATTTTCGGATACATTTTATATTTTCACATTTGTTTGGGTTAGATGTAATTCCATTTTTTAATGATATTTATTTTCTAAAAAATCTTCGAATATATTGTATTTGGAAAAATTATTAGGAATGATTCGATTTGGATACAATTCGATTTGGGGATGTCCGGTGAAACAAAATACGAAAAGTTGATTTCTTTTTTATGTTAATGTGAATATTTTCAATCATACGACGATATTTTCTGATCAATTAATTATAACAATTTATTTGATGAAAACGAAATAATTATGTGATATATAAATGTTCTTGGGTTCACATGATCACACTATGGTTTTACACGAATACCATTATTTCTGTATATGACCGTGAATTATTTTATTTGCAATGGACAGTGTGAAATCATATGCAAATGTGAAGCTACAAGGAATCCAGCCACCGTCGACAAATAAAATATTGACTCCAACATTATACGATCACTTGTATGAATACGTCTATAATTTATTTATTTATTGTTAAATGAATGTGTCTAAATTATTTTTATGTATGCATATTTTATATCATCAGAAATTTTGGGGGGGGGGAAAAAATAAAATGGATTGGACCACTTTTTCCCCAGATTTTCAAGGATGACAAAATATGTAGGTGAGCGTTAGTTTCAATGTATGGTCATGCCGACATGGAAAACGTGAATGTTACAGTGCCTTGTACACTTTGTCTTCTATGTAATTACCAATTAGGGCTCATCGACATCAACTGCATGCATCTAATAAATTATAAACGTCATTTTTTTTTCCCAAATAACTTTATTCTGTAATTTCGGTACACATATACCCTTTAAAAGACAACGCAAGTTTCAAAATTGTAAAATTAATATATTAAGTAAACTTTGATTTGTTTCCCAATACACTAACTAGGAATCTTTAAATGGAGAATTCGTTAGAGATTAAACAAATGGGAATCTTGTCCTTATTTTTTGGTTAACTTTCGATGCCAATTTTATATGTCAGATGAAGAGAATCTTGTGGATGCAGAATGAACCAATGGGAACACAGTGACCCAACGGGATCCGTGTCCACACGACACGTCTTCGGACAATTAATAGATACATACATATATATATATATATAGTAAGAGTATCGGTTAAGATATATTCCCATAAACTCCCAGATTCTTTCCCTTATTCGTCTTTTCCATTTTCCGATTCATTTTCCTTTACACTGCTGGGAGACGTATCTACTCTTATATATATATATATATATATATATATACACACACACGTATATATCGTTTTAATTAGAAGAAAACCAAGAAGATGGTGACGATGAAGAGTCGTGTTAATGCATCGCTCGTGTTCATTCTGATAGTAATATTCCCATGCGCTTCCGTCCTCTCTGCTTCCGCTGATTTCGATTTCTTCTACTTCGTCCAACAGGTATATTATATATATCATTCTTATGCATAATCCATCGAATTTTTATTTCGATAATCCATATTACTATACACAATTACATATATATATGTGTGTATATATATATATATACATGTAGTGGCCAGGGTCATACTGTGATACAAAGAAGAGCTGTTGCTACCCAACAACAGGGAAACCGGCTGCAGATTTCGGAATTCATGGGCTCTGGCCTAATTACGAGGATGGCACTTACCCCTCCAACTGTGACGACAACAGCCCTTTTGACAAGTCAACGGTCCGTCCGTACACTTTCTCCTTCTGTTGGCAACCAAACTGTATTTAACCGGTCGGTTTAATTTCGGTTTTCCCGGTTTACGTTCAGATCTCTGACCTAATCAGCAACATGAGGAAGTCGTGGCCTACGCTTGCGTGCCCGAGCGGAACAGGCGAAGCGTTTTGGGAACACGAGTGGGAGAAACACGGCACATGTTCCGAATCGGTCCTCGACCAGCACGATTACTTCAAAACCACTCTCGGCTTGAAGCAGCAAACCAACATCCTCCAAGCCTTGAAAACCGCCGGTACGTTCATCCGGTTCTCTCTCTTCCTCTTTGCAACATCGTACCACCCGATTCAATTTAACCGGTTTTTCGACCAATGATCTTGATTTTGTTTCGTTTTTCTTTTGGGTTAGGGATAAATCCGGATGGAGGGTCGTACAGTTTGGAGAGTATCAAAGATGCGATCAAAGAGGGAACGGGATTCGATCCATGGATAGAGTGCAATACCGATGAATCGGGGAACACTCAACTGTACCAAGTCTACTTGTGCGTAGACCGGTCTGGTTCGAAATTGATCGAGTGCCCGGTTAAGCCTCGTGGCCGCAAATGTGGATCCGAGATCGAATTTCCTTCGTTCTAATTATCATCATTTAATTATTGTAAGAAAAGACACCATTCGACTTTATTTCTTCGCTGCAAATAATCAATTGAACCGAGCGATCTGGTTCGAGTACAATTATATGCGTGGCTTTTTGTTTCGCAATATTTTAATTTTTCGGTCGCCAATTAAAATATACCACGGTTAATACATTATCATTTTTAAAAAATAATTATGAGAAGTTATATTGAAAGTTGGTATAATAATTTGTGAAAATGCAGGCAGATCTCGAGAGGCGAAGACACTTAATAAATTATACAGCGACGTGTATAATTACGGAGTGATATTATAATACAGGTTTAATTAAGTGAAATTATACGTACAGCAACGCGTACGTAATAAAGAATACAGCAGTGGTTGTACTGTAATTTTCATTTGTTTATATTTATTTTCTAGTATTATATTGCCAACTAAGATAATAAACGTCCGTTGATTTCTATGCACTATTGTTGTTTATTATTATAAAAGAAAAGAAAGAAATCGTAATTTGGGCTTATTTTTCCAACTGCTATAGAAAAGTTCCAAACCTTGACTAATTATTTTTTATATATTTGATATTAATTAAAATGAATTTCAGGCAAAACGCAGCCCAACCCACATGTCCACGTTGAAGACACGTTCATCGTAATCTAATAACTATAATGGGATAAGATCGAAGATTAACATCGGAGGTTTTGCGCCAACCGATGATTAATTATATCATCAGAATTCTTTTTAAAATCCTTTTATTTACATCTTGTAAGCTGTAATATTAATTTTAAGGAAAAGTAACCAGCAAGGCAATTAATTAAGGCCGGTGGAGAAGTCTATGAAATTAAACAATACGATAAGAAAAATTAATTAAGAGCATATGCTGTTTAGTACGGACGTAGATTCCGTCGGCTTGATGGATCGAAGTTTTTGTTTGCGTATAAATACGAAGCTCGAGAAAATGCCATGAATACAACGAACAGGAAAAAAAAAAAACGATGAGGACAGGCATCATCTTCAAGCTTGTGATGTTGCAGAGCCTTGCAGTTTCATGCTTAGGGCAAGACTTTGACTTCTTCTACTTTGTTCTTCAGGTATCCTCCCTACAAAACTCCCATGTGTATATATATATATATGCATGTCTATATATACAAAAGCACGTAAATGAATTAGTACGTACGTAGATGCATGGATCATGTGAATATATGATGGGAATGAATAAAATGGGATTGAGTAGTGGCCAGGAGCATACTGCGACTCGAGGCAGAGCTGTTGCTATCCAAAGACAGGGAAGCCCTCGTCCGATTTCAGCATCCATGGTCTTTGGCCTAACTACAACGACGGCTCCTATCCCTCCAACTGCGATCCCGACAGCCAATTCCATAAATCCGAGGTACGTATTTTTTTATCTGACAAGGGCTGTTCCTTTTGATCCAAACTCTATGCATATGATCACGAAGATAAACATATCTATGTATACGTATTATGAAAATGATGTGCGTGTGGGGGGCAGGTTGAGGATCTGTTAAACAAAATGGCGGAGAAATGGCCGTCGCTGGCATGTCCGAGCAGCGACGGAGTCAGATTCTGGGAACACGAATGGGTCAAACACGGGACCTGTTCTGAATCTGAACTGGACCAACATGACTACTTCGACGCTGCCCTTAAACTCAAAGACAAAGCCAACCTCCTCCAATTCCTCAAGTCCGCAGGTACTCTCCACACACACACATATATACATATTCTTGAGTTTATGTAGACGAGCATATATATTCAAACATTGCCATGCATGCATACGTATATATACAGCACAGGCGCTGATGAATATTACATATGGACCATTTTTCCCTCTCTGTGTGTAGGAATAAATCCGGATGACGGGTTTTACAGTCTAAAAGAGATCAAGAATGCGATAGAAGAAGGGACTGGATTCAGTCCAGGGATCGAATGCAACAAGGATCCGTCACGCAACTCGCAGCTTTACCAGATCTATCTGTGCGTCGATACATCAGCCACAACCTTTATAGAGTGTCCGATTCTACCGCAAGGAAGATGCGCTCCCGAGATTCAGTTCCCCAAGTTCTAGATGTTGTCTTATGTTCTGTTTTTGTCTTCCCTCTGTTATGTTTGTGAAAAATGTCGTCAAATGCAATTTAAAAAAGAAAATGGGCGTTTACAACGTGACGATGGAAGAATAAAATAAACGAGAAAGCCCGAAATATCATCGAATAAAAATATGATAAAAGGACAAACAATCGAATAAGCAGACGCTGACAGTGAAGCTTGAAATCTAACGCGTGTCAGAAAGTGAAATCGAAAGTCCCAGATGTTTCTAGTCCCACGACCTTTCTCTTCTTCCCCATTTCTTGAAATTGGAATCTCTTCTTCGTTGCCTGTATTTATATCTCGAAGCCTTATGCTGTTAGCTCGTGGTCCACTTTCCCTTCTCCTTCAAACTTCTTCGTCGCCGTCAACAAATCCTCTGATTTTCCCGAGAAAGTTCGATTCTATAAGCTTTTTGCGTGATCCTACAATGTCTTCGGAGACGGATTCCTCTGAGATCTCGTCTATGTTCGAGAGCCTCCTACGCCAAGAAGGTGGTTTCTCTCTCTTCTTGTCCTTCATGTTAGGGTTGACCCGAGAACCCGACCCGACAGGAGACAGGACGGTCCTGATCGACCCCTCCACACGAACCGTGCTCATTGTAAGGTCGCAGTCAAGTCTGGACGCGTTCCTAAACGGCGTCGTTCGGGGGAAACGGGGGAGACTGCCGGCGTTGAAATCGGCGGTGGAGGGAATGCCACGTGTCGAGATCAAGGGGAAGGAGGAGGGTAGTTGCGCGGTATGTCTGGAGGAGTGGTCGGCAGGTGACGTGGCGGCGGAGATGCCGTGTAAGCACAGGTTTCATTCCAAGTGTGTGGAAGAGTGGTTGGGTATTCATGGGACGTGTCCTGTCTGTAGATATGAGATGCCTGTGGAAGAAAAAGAAGAAACTGATAAGAAGTTCGAGATTTTGTTTAGAATCGCCATTAATGGCGGCGGAAGAAGAATCCGTGAAGGAGAAGAACGAGACGCTGGAGGTGAAACTGATTCAGAGCCAACTACAGGAACAGAGGTTGTTTAGTTCGGAGAAAAAAAATCGGCTCTTTTTTAATTTATTTTTGTGGTTTTTTTTAGCTTTGCAGATTGTAAATTGGGTATCTTTTCCTTTAATATTCCTCGGAAAGTTTAATGAAATCCCATATTTTGGACTGATCAATCTGATTTCATTTTGATATGAGACATGAATGCAAAAACACGAAATGACAAATTTGCCCTTACTCTTGCTCCGCGTGAGGAGAGGGGGGTAAAATCGTAACTGCGAGCCTATACAGGTCAGGTGGTCTTAAACGACGCCGTCGGGATGTGGCAACGGTCAGGTGAGGTGAAACGACGTCGTGGGGGGTGTTGTTCGTCGTCCGTTGGATCCCTATTCTCCAGCGACTTTATCAGAAGAGCAGAGCATATGCTGTTTACATGATTGAATATATATATATATATATATATATGTACGTGATTACACTTATATATGTATAATGTATAGTCTAATCCTTCGTCTCCAAGTGAAAATCATTAGCAAATCCGTGGAATCAGAGCGGTTTTTGAGGAGAGAGTCTTCTCTGTCTCTCTCTCCGCCTCTGGTTTGTTTCTTCGATTCCTGCTTCGCCTTGATCTTTTTAAGACCCTCTCTCATGGTCAGCATCAGCTGGGCGTTTGAATTTCTTCTTTGGGTAAGTTTCCCTTTTTTCCGTTATCGAACACACAGATCGATTCTCTGGACACGATGAGGGTTTTTGATTTCTGGGTTACGCATTAGAGAGGTGGATTTTATCTGGATTCCTGAAAGTTTCTGCGATTCCTTGTTCTTCTTGTCCGTGTCTTTGTCTGCTGAAAAGGTTACAACTTTTGTGTTCATTCTGTTGTAGTCTTATCTGTTTGAAAACATCGACAATGTAGCTATATATCTGAAGGATTTAAAAGATTGCAGCTTTTGTTCTTCATTCTTTGAAATGTTGTGTTTTTCACTCGAGGGTTGTTTTATTTGATAACCCAATGAGGTATAAATGTTTGATTCGTAATCTAGGTGTGAATTCCATTCGCTTCAATTCTGCTTCTTTAGCTTGTGAATTTTGGAAATGCATGGAAAGCTTCAGTCAGGCCTATCAATTTCCTCAAGAACAAAAAAGAAATGATATTGTGTTTGCTTGCTAAATCTGCAGGATGGGAAGGGTGAAACTGAAGATAAAGAAGTTAGAGAACACGAATGGACGCCAAGCTACATTCGCCAAGCGGAAACATGGGATCATGAAAAAGGCTAATGAGCTCTCCATTCTCTGCGACATCCACGTTGCTCTTCTCATGTTCTCTCCCTCCGGAAAACCTTCCCTATGCTGCGGTAGACACAGGTCTGAACACATAATCATTCTGGGGTTTACCAAAGCATTTGAGCTATGAGATTCATGGGTCATTTGTTGTTCTTTCAGTACCATTGAAGAGGTGATTGCAAAGTTTGCTCAAGTAACGCCACAGGAGAGAACAAAGAGGTTGGTTTTATATTCTTCCTTACATACGAAAGAGGTGGGTAACTGATTTTCTTCTCTCTCATCGTTTACATTTGAAACAGGAAGTTGGAGAGCCTTGAAGTAAGTTGGTTCTGAGACAGATCTTTGTCATGATCTCAACCTGTTCTCTATCTTGTCCCTGATTCATGTTTTTTTTCTCAATGAGAGTTCAGGCGTTGAAGAAAACATTCAAGAAGTTGGATCATGATGTTAATATACGTGAATTCATTGCCTCCGGGTGAGTAGCAAACAATCCATAAACAAAATAACATCATTTGCAGCTTCATTGAGCCATTTGTCTTTGAACTTAATCTCTCATCTCTCTCGTCTTCTTGTCTTTGGGTTTTCTGGTTTCAGCAATCCGACAGTAGAGGTATTCACTCAAAAACGTTCAACCGTCTTATGCTACTAATTCATCTCCTTCACTTTCCATAGCCTTAAGCTCTGTAAACTGCATTTTAGGACCTGAGTCATCAAGCAAGGGCTCTTCAAGCTCGGCTTTCTGAGACGCACAGGAGAATAAGGTGACAAATCTGAAGATTGCTCTGTTTCTTTGTTCCTTGCCATATAGGTTGTGTCCCTTGTTCGCTCTGTACTTATTACCTGTATCATTTTCTCAAGCTATTGGTCCGAACCCGAGAAGATAAACAGCATTGAACATCTTGGGCAGCTAGAAATTTCGATCAGGCAATCCCTTGACCAACTCCGCGCCCATAAGGTATCCATCCCTCTATTACATGTTATCATTTCACACCGTGTGCCCGAATGAAGGAGATTTACACTTCTTTTTTGTTGCCAGCAAAATCTACTGCAGATGGAAAACTCTGGCCTTGTCAAAGATTGGTCAAACTGCTTGGTAATTTTCTCATGGCTGTTTCTTATGTTCCCGTTGGGGCAAGACGTTATCCTGAATCGACTCTTATGTCTAGATACAAGACGGGATTCAGATTCCACTTGATCAACAGCTCCAGTCTCTGTCCTGGATTGCTAACAACAGCAGCAGCAACATTGTCACTGAGGAACTGAATTTGATCCCCCAGAGGTTAGTGGATTTCCTCGAAACCGTTTCTTGAATTGGTAATCGTTTCTTGATCAAAATGATCCGAGTGTCTCTTACATATAATCCATCTTCCCTCTAGGGACATTGAATGCTCCGCGAGTTCTTCATTCGGGAGCTACTCGGGCTACTTTGGAACAGGAAAAAGCCCAGAGATTTCGATTTCTGGGCAAGAAACAAGCTTTATTGATGAACTGACCGGTACTGCACAACTGAGGCCGCTGGCAAACACGCAGCAATTTGCTTACATTCCTTACAACCCGAATTTGCCAAACGATGTAAAGCACCAACCTTTGCCTCCGGGTTTGAACTTACCGATGAATCAGCAGACGACGGATTATCATATGAATGATCTCTTTGAATCGCCTGGTTCTTCCCAAGCTAGGTTTGGTTCTAGCAGCAGCTCCATGCCTTGTTCTGTTGCCATGTTCGATGACTTCTTCTTTTCACAGGTAAAGTGACTTTTGTATTCTTCACTTTAAAACACCCATCAAAACGTTACTCTAAATTGCTGCCTGAATCTCTGAACATACATTCCCAAGATCGAAAATTTCTGATTTCTGATAAGATCAATTCAAATGGGTACCAAAGATTTGGCATTTTTCTGAAATTATATCCACAGCTGATGCAACCGAACTGAGAGATGCCACGGGAAAGCAAGGAGCTCGCTGAAGAGCAGAGCAAGAAGAAGACTTGCTTCCTTTCCGACACCGTGACTTTGGAGAGTCAAGAGACAGAATCTATTGATAGGTTCCATGAACAACCGACGATGAATCTGGCAGTGTAAAGCCAAGATCAGTAACTAAGAAAAATAGCGTGTTCTATTATAGAGATGCTTAACATTATGATACATATATAGTCGGATGGACTGGGATTTTGATTAATATGTGTTCCCATTTTCCGGTGATTCATTTAGCGTCTCGAAGGCAGTCACTGACGCCATGGCAGCCAAGGATGAGACCTCTCTCCCTCTCTCTCCCTCCCTTCCCCCCGTATCATTATTATATTTAGATAAAAAAAAAATTACATTTTTTTATTCATCCTTCCAAGTAAACGAATAACGTCTATTTATATTATGTATAGACGCATCTTTACACTTATTTGTATGTGTACATTCCTATTGTTACAAAGGGAATATAAATGAAATTTGCTATTTTCAATAACTGAACATGATTTCAATTTTCACCAAAAAAAATCTCTCTTGTTCGTTAACAGAGAACCAGTCATTCGGTTGCTTTTATTATACTTTTAAATATTCATTTTTTAATGTTTTTATATCATTAAAAAAAAAGAGTGAAAAAATTATTGATGTCTTGTAGTACTTTAGTTTAAATATATGTTGTTTAGCGTTTAAAGTTTGGTGTTTTTTTATTTTTATTAAATTATTACTTCAATCATATTCGATAAAATAATATATTGATTCGAACACGTTGTTTTAGAAACTTTTATTAATTGTCAAAGGGAAAAAAAATTAAATATTAAAATATGCTTTAAGAAAATTTCAAATGTAAAAATAAATAGTAAAAAGAAAATAATTTAGTTGTTATACTCGAGTATGGTTAAAAAATACAATCAATGTTTATTATTGAATTAAGGGAAACCCCTGAGGGGTAATGAAGCGAGTAGAAAAACAACAAGTTCAGAGCATGACAGATTTTTGTTTGTATAATTTGTCTACTTAAGAAAATGATTAAACACCTTAAAATTATATGAGGCATCTAATCATAATTAGCTGGCAGATGATTACGACACTGCCCTTTTTTCAAGATTACAGCAAATTATTTAAATCGCTCTCATAATCATCTATCGAATTTAATTATATATATTTGATTTTTGGAATTTTTTTGTTACTGTTTTCTTGCGGTGCTTAATGTTAGTATTATGACTTTTATCCACCGGGTTATTGAATTAGACACCTACCCCGTCAGATTAATTCCATTTTCTTCTTTTTTTTTTTTTAGGTAAAAGTCATCCTAAGATCATCAGTCCATTAATTAAAAGTGATAATATAGCGAAAACAAAATTAAGATTTTTTTATTATTTTATCCAACAACTGGATTTCTTATTAGTTACTATGAATGACTAATTTAAACTTAATACAGATTTTGTTTTGCAAAAACTAATGCAGATTAGATAATTAATATTTTTTTAAGAAAGGATATATTCCTTCTCTGATTGGTATTCTCTACACAAATTCTCTATTTTTCAAAAAGCGCAACCAATACAATTATGACACGTAAGCGCCGAAATTTACGGCGCTTCACATGGCGATGCTTCAGAAAGATTCGCAGACGTACGGTGCGTGTTGTTCACCATCCTACGGTCTGAACTTAAGCAGAGAGATCGGACGGTGGAATATCATCTTAAACTGATGGATCCTCTGCATGGACGACACGTGTACGCAATATAACACCGTTGATGTGGACGGGTACAAAGACAAAAGAAAGCGCGTTTCTGTTGCACGTGGCTCAAGACAGTGACGTGTCGGTAGTTGACCCTTTCAAACATATAGCCCAAAAACGCACCGTCTCGACTTTTCCCTCCCAACCTCGTAAATATTACTATATTTTATCTAAGCGAATAATATTTTAGTTTATATTTAATTCGTTATATGCGTATTATTCCCGAGGTCGGGTTTTTTTTTTGTTGCTATGTTTACAAAATAAAGGAAATTTATTGGAAGTATGTGAGATGGGACATAACATTTGTGCAAATGATGCAAAAAAATTTAGTATGTGACGTCGAGTTCGAATTTGAAATTTAGAAAGAAATGTATATTTTAAATTATATAACTATCGAGATTAATCTTGGTATTAATTTAGGAAAAAATATTTGACAAAGCGACTGCGTCTTCTTCTTCTTCTTCTTCTTGGAGTGTTTTGTCTGATTGGTCAGTGAAGCAAATGTCATCTCTCTCTGCTTTTCTCTGTCCTTGAATTTTTGTCTTCAACGCTGTGGAATATGGAGTACAGCCTTTTGCTTTTCTCATAAACATCATGATTGAATATATATATATATATATATATATATGTACGTGATTACACTTATATATGTATAATGTATAGTCTAATCCTTCGTCTCCAAGTGAAAATCATTAGCAAATCCGTGGAATCATGTTTTCAATCTGGAAATAAGTAAAATTTTGCTACAAGCGATGTAATTATTGTGATGAGAATGTTAGTGTACCATGTCGGTATACTTGTTTTGTACTAGTTTTCACCTTCACACACACTGAAATTTTTTACTGCACATGTTAAAATGGTAAAACACAACAGCTGTAAAAATAACATGACTCCAAGTGAAGGGTATTATCTTCAAGATTTAGTACAACATAAGATTCTGTTTCAGATTCTGTCAAGAGAGCGGTGCTTCAACACATGTAACCGTACTCGAAAGCCAAACAAAACAACTGACATTACCAAACAACACCCTTACAAACGTCTCTCACATACCCGACAGGGACAAAAACGTCAAATAACAACCAAGCATGACTATTTCACTATTATAGCGGGTGGTAAATTTCCACCTCTGCCCCACCCTTTCCATCGCTACTGCCTGCTTACCACAGTACAATTTTTTTTTACCCATAGTCCAAAATGGCAAATCAGCTCTAATAAAACAAAGCCCTTTTCACCATGTTGCCCCTCCCCACACAGAAGAGTTCTTGGAGTGCTAAAAGGCTCCCAAAAAACCCAAATGCCTTATAGCCCTCTTTCTCCTCCTCTTCATCAAACCCTCGTTACACACAAAACCCTAAATTACTAATACTATATATATATATATATAATTATACTCTTCTCAACAGGACAGGATATCAATGGAACTGAAGGCCGGTGAAGGTCTGGCCGAAGGACCAACCAGCGGGCGCCACGTTGTTGGAGACGACGGTCCGGCCATCACCGGCGGTGACCTTAAAGGAGAGGGCTTGGCCATCGAGGAGGTTGTTGCTCTGCCAGTTCTGCCCCCAGTTCCTTGACATGGACTGCCAATTTGTTCTTGAGCCTTTCACCGACACTGCGTGGACGTCACCTGCACCTCCGACGTTGGTGATGAGGACGAGGTTGAAGTATGAGTGACCGTTAATTGTGAACCTTATGCCACCCTTTCTCCGGCATGGAACCCTGCACGAGAAAACCAATCGTCTTAATTGTCAAGAACACAAAAATTCAACAAGAGAGAATTCAATGAAGTTGACATTTTTTCCACTTGAGCAGTAATTTAATGTGGTGTGCTGAAAGGTCTAACGAGAATTCTGTGCTGAGGAACAATGGCATTGAACATTGCTTTCTCATTTCAGAAAAGTTGAAGTCTTTTTCTACCTACAATACAGAGAATCCATAAAACCTCTCTTCTACTTGAGAGGTGCTCTGGAGATGCAAGAACTTAGACTTGGTTAGTACCCATTTGATAAATAGATGAACTAATTGTTGACGAGAAGCATACCTTCTGTAGGAAACAGGGACAATGCCAGCCTTGTACTGAGCAATGCGCTGAAAGATAGGCTGAGAGAGGTCAAAGTGGTGAAGAGGAGGGTTGCACCACCCACCGGCATTGTTGGGCAATGCGTTGTTCGGAGGGCAGAAATTGGTGGCTGTGATGACAATGGAGCCAGGCATACACCACTTGCCATCGCTCTCGCACCGCAGCTCGAAGCACGCACCACAGCTCAGTCCGTTGTTGAACAAAGCCGTGCTTAAGGCCGCTGTGTTGGTCCCATAGCCCTGGCTGTAGAGATTTCCATACCCACATGCCCCACCTGCGGGATGAAAGTGACGATTTTTCATGATGCCCACGATATTTGGGAGAAATGGGTGTCTGAATTTGTAAATTTCCATATTACCCACGAAATTTCAGTAAAGTGGGTGGAAGTCTTTAAGTCAATGCAGAATTATGTTGTTCAGGGTCTCGGTCATTTGTCAAACATGTCGCAGAATTACGAAGTCTCTCAGGCATTTTGACGAACATGTGGAAAAGTTTCCTTTTTTTCAACAGTGAAATGCCATGATGCAAAAGAGAGTCAATATGGAAGTCGCAGTCCAACTGGGGGATATTGTTTCAAAACAAGCAATTATGCAAAAGCACTCAACTTTTCGATTAAAATGTCCGTTAATGTATAAGAGAGACAAAGAATCCCGCATACCCATTGTTCCTGAAGCATCATTTCCGCCATAGAAGGTGGCATGAGCGTTGATCCACCCTCCGTCGTAGCCATGAACAGAGCACACAACTGCAGAGAAGCCCAACAGCAAAAACCCCAAAAGACCCATCCTTTTCCTGTCACATTCAAACACGGTAACCATTAGACAACTACACAATACTGGCAAGCGAAACATGAGTTACAAAAACCAAAAAGGGAATTTGGTTTGAGAAGAGTGTGAGAGACTGATGATTACATGGACATTCCCCCGTGCGCTCGATGAAAAAAAAAAAAGAGCAGGGCTTTGAAGATAGAAAGAAATGTAGAGTTAAGAGAGAGAGAGAGAGAGAGAGAGAGAGAGAGAGAGAGAGAGGCTGTTGGTTTTGTTGGGAGTGAGGGGAAGAGGGTTCATGCCATGGGGGATTTTATAGAAAGTTTCAGTCTCATTTACTCCTTTTTTCACCTTCCTTCTAGGGTTTTTTTAACCTAAATCCATGCCCCCCAAAAAAGAATCTTTTTAAAAAATAAAAATAAATTGTTCAGCTCCTTCCAAATTCAAATTTCTTAAGCTTGTATAATTATTACAACTTTACCATTACCACTATAAACAACAACGTATGTTTCGGATGTTCAATACTAGAGATTGCACTGTCCTTTGACCATGTAAATCTCTAAAGTTCGAGTCTTTTCACAATGGGTGTTCTTCTTCTACGTTTATTTTTAAAATACATTTAAGATTTCTTGGTAAAATGTTTATAATTTTTAACTTCAATATTTCGAAAATAATATATACAAGTGTGTCTGAGAGAGAGAGAGAGAGAGAGAGAGAGAGAGAGAGAGAGAGAGAGAGAGAGCACATGTGGGCGTTGGCAGGCGGTTTTGATGGTTAGAAATTTGGAAGCGTGTGGCTTCTTCTGCAGCTTTCTTTTTCAGTATCTAAATGGGCCATCCCCTTCCCTTTATTTCATTTATTTTTTCTAATTTCTATTTCTTGGATGAATTAATCTAATGATCCTTTTCCATTAAAATAATTAAATTTGATGGTCACTAAATATTTATTTTTTTCTCATGTCTGCAAGTGCACTTGTGCACCCGTTTCTATTGATCACCCTATGAAGAAAAAGGAAAACAAAACGAAAACCTCTGCGTTATTAACTTATTATCCGATTCAAGATTGTCTAAAAATAAAAAAAAAATATATATGATAGCATATATGATGGTAATAAATTGTTTGGAACAGAACCCACGTACATAGTACTCGTGTAATACTTGTGAGCTTATGTGTGTGTATGTTTAAATTTAATGCATATGATATATACATATACATATATATATATATCATGCACATGGAAATTCTATGAAATTACATACTATATATATATATATATATAATATTGCGACCGTATCTTTTCCGAAGTTGTTTGATATGTCGCAATTCACGAGATTGTGATTTGGTGTTTGGCATCAAACTACAGGACCGTGATTTTGGGGCAATCAGGTGTTTAATAATATTTTATGTACACTAATAATATAAATACATTTTCTTTTGTCTATATGTGCAAAAGAATTACTGTGGATCAAACAGTTGAATAATTTCCATTTATAAGTTGCTTAAATATTAAACATGGGGTCTCTCCATATTTTGTTACTAAAAAGTAAAAGAATAAAATGAATTACTAAATTAATAAACAGATGAATACAGATGGTAAAGGCATGATAATGCGTTCTGAAGATATAAAAAAGATTATCTCCATCACTTGGTATTTATTATTAATCCAATTTAAAATTTATAAAAATAAATAGATATAAAAAATAATAAAATTAAAAAAAAAAAAGAGGGCATGGCATAAGGACGTGTGCCACCACAGGAATCAAAGCGCCAAGGTGGTCAAAACCATTTTACTTCGTCTCCTCAAAAGCAGTGAAAGTTCTGCTGTCTCCTATTTAATAATCTCTCGTTCATTTATTATTTGTTATTATATAATAATAATAATAATAATAATGAATTTTCAATTATTCACTCTTCTTATTCTTTAGACCGAAATCAATTTAAGTATAGCTTAAACCTAACACTTGATGGTTTGTATATTATAAACTAATCTTACGTTATCATTATTGCATTAAAGCTATGATTTATTTTTGAAATGGTTAAATAAAGTAACGACTGCTACTAACCGCTTAACTACTTCCAAACACCTTTTCACAGGTTGCCCGAAAACTGTTAGATCTCATCTCAGCCGTTGATCGTAGGAATTTGACGGCTGTGATTGTTCTGCTCAAGCACCAGAACGAGAATCGGATTCGGCCTCTGCCTCTCTGCTGTTTAAAGTCGAAGGTCAAACTGGTGTTGAGAATGTGCAAATTTACGAAATTGCCATTAACTTTTTATCATTTGCCGGTAATATTTAACTTGGGTATTATTAGTTTCCAACGCTAAATTATTTTACTCCCTCTACTCTATTATATGCTGTAGATAATATTTTTTATTATTTAATAGATATCGTTTTAAATTTTTTAGATGATTTTTTTAAAAAAAATCCCAAATTTATGCTCAATTAAAAATATCTAATTTCAACAAATTATTAATTAGAAAATATATTTTTTATATATAATGATATTTTAGTAGAAATATTAAAAAAGGATATATAAGTTTTTTTATATTTGTTTAAAAGTTGGGGAAAAATAAAACGATGTTTATTAATAAATGGAGGGAGTAAGTAAAGATTAAGGTTTTGCTGAAGGCTCAATTGAAAACAAAATAATTTTAAACTAAATCAATCTTTAAGAAGAAATCAAATAACCTGCGATCGAAATCTCGCACAAGTAGTTGATGCATTTATTATGAGTAGTTTTAAAGTTATACTATTTAATTATTAAAACTTACAGAAACATAAGGAGAAAAATCAAATATGGAATAATCGATTTAATTTAAGTGTCAGATTATCAAATATAGAATAGCTTCAAGTTATATAAAAGTTGCTAAGTAATTAAATCCCTTTGATGTTTAACTTGGAAGGTTAGAGTAATCGAATTAAGGGCCATTGTTAATCATGATTAAGCACATGATGACCACTTCTGTTTCACTTCACGTGAAAAGCTAGGGGGGGACAAAAGAGGACCATGTTAACGGCCGAAAACATTTATCATAATTTATTAATTTATCACTTACATATTTTAATCATCCATATATGAATTTATATAATTAATTTGATAAATATTATTTGTGTGATTGCTGTACATGAATTAATTCTCCGCATAAATTTTTTCGTTGCATTTCCTATGCAGATTTAATTAATTGCTCCTTCAGTTTCTAAAAAAATATCGTTTTAGATTTTTTCAGTATTATAAAATAATATAAAAATTCTTTTATATCCCTATTAAATTACATTCTCATTAATTTTTTATTGAAATTAATTTTTTTAAATAAGGATAGAATTATAAATTTTCTTGTAAAATCATCGAAGAAAAATCTAAAACGACATTTAATTAATAATAAAAAATATTTTGATAAATATATGATATGTTCACTTTGTTCAAACTCTTAATAAATACGTAAGAAACTCTGCGAGTTATTCAAACCTCACTTAATAACTCATTAAATTCGGTATCTAACCTAATTTCATTTGTCAATTCAGAAGAGCAGTGTCTATAAAATCATTTACATGTTTTAAATTTTTCGATTTTTGACGGTAGAAGATGTAATGGACTATAAAATTCTAAATCATCATCACATGCTTTTGTCCCTCATCCATGCATACATAGATTTCGTGTGTAATATATGCATGCACATACATACGCTAATGAATGTGTATGTGTATGTGTATGTGCATGTCATGTAGATATATATAGGGGACAGAGTTCGTATCACGTAAGATTCGGCGAGGCTAAAAGGTCGTATTAAGATATGATTAATCAAACCAACGCCTCATCTGATTGGACCTTTTCCCATTTATTTCCTCAATTCAATTTGCATCACTTAAAATATTATTTCGTTTACGAAGCCTTGGAATATATATATATATATATACGTTTTTTGTTAGTTTAATATTCAAATCCGAAAATGATGCGGCAACCGACATAATATATATATAGAATGTATAAATTGTTATTTTTGTACTGAATTTGATGAGGGTTTTATATAATTTCGGATTGTAATCATTAGTTCATTCATCCACCTATATTCTAATACATTCTGTAATTTCAGCAAAATTCTTCTGGGGCCATTGGAAAGGTCAAACGGGCAGTGAAACAAATACCAAAAATCAGAAACTCTACCATGTTAATGTTACAGAGCTTTCTTCTTCTTCTTCTTCTCGAGTTGCTTTTTGAGGTTAACAATGATCTTATCCTGCGCCTCCACTTGGAAATCCTTTTGCTTTAGATTCTTCTTCAGCTCTTCTATTTCCTTCAAGAGCTCCTCCTCCCTAGCCTTGTCGTCTGCACACTTATCACCATTACAATGGTGAATATCTGTCTTCTGTTTCTTACAATCCTTGGGGTTCTCGTCCGGAATACTTCTCTTCTTGCCTGGGATTTCTCCTCCGGAATCATCTTGTCCCATTTTACGGACATACCAACTGGCTTCTGATCCAGAATTTAGTCTAAAAGTAACCAGCTTTTGCGGCAAACCCGACGAGTCCTGGAATCAGATGTGGGAGGTTATTTCTTCACACTGCTAAACTGTAATTTCAGACCTTTTGACTCCTAAACCAGGAAAAGCTAATTAATTACCTTTTCAAGATTTCCTTCAAGGTTTTCAAATGCCTGGTTGGCTTCTTTTGAAGCCTTGAAAACAGCGGCCGCACTGTAGAAACCTCCCGGTTTTTTTGATGGCTGCCGAAAATTTACAAACATAAACCCCACATGTTAAAAAAAGAAAACCAAGAAAATGCTGCACCAGGTCTTGTCCAGAATCCTACACACAAAAGGTGGAAGATTTCCCCACCTTAACGTCAAGCGTAAAATCCCCAGAAAATACCGCACTCAACTCTTCAGAGGGCACATCATGAGGGATCCTGTGCAGAAAGAGCCTTGCCATCTCAGTTTCCAACATCTGCAATAGGTAGGGATGTCTTTTAGAAAATATGCATTCAATTTCTTTTTTCCAAATTGAAATGGGTTATCCCTTACATCTTTAGTCATCGAAACCGTAGTGTCCACTCCTTTCTCTATTACTGCAAGAACAAGCTTCATTGCAGCAGCTGCGTCCTGTATGCAATCATGTGCAGCCCCGTCCTTCCGGACTTCATAACCCAATGCAGACTAAAAAGAACAAAGCACAGAAGATATTAGATAAGTGGTATTATAACATATCAAGAACATGATATAAATGTGAAATTCCTCTCTGGTTTCCCTAGAGCAGAGAGCCATCAAAGACTTGCCTTGCACAGATTATTCAGCGAAGGTCTTCGACGCTTATATCCATTGGAAAACTTGAATATAAGTGAAGTATCAATTACTCTGGCATGATCTATCTTCATCGCTGGGATTCAAAGATGTGCAAGAATAATTAACTTCAATAACAATCTGTCACATACACAAACAAGTATAACTTTCTTTTTTCTTACCTTTCAGATCATTGTTCAAACTGTGACCTACCAAGATAGTATCCCTAGAGAGAAACCTCCGCATTTTTTTCTGCGAAATTCAGAGGATAACATATAGACTGAAACCTTGCCACTGAAAAAAAGGCCCCAATGGGACGACCAAAATAAAGACGCCAAACGTAAAAGCATGATACCTGTATATCTACCATGGATAAGGTAGCTTTTTCAATATCTGCAGCAGTGACCCCAGTAATATCAGTCCTATAATCAGTAACTGGTTTGTTCGGGTTCACAAATTTATCAAGTATAACCTGAATCACAAAAATCACAAGTAACACAATTGATTTGTGGGATCATCAGGAAAGAGAAACAAGTAAAAAGCTAAAAAGGTGCTGACACAGAATAAAGGATGAGATGTGTAAACAATACATTTAATTCACGGTCCACGACACCAACTCGAACAACAGCTTCGGTGCCATCTTCACAAAGAACCATCTCACAATCGACCGCTATCATTTTAGTACATTTCATCACCTTTGACTTCTTCTTTCTGAGCTTGATCACAAGCCAATCCTGTTTCACATTCCCAAAAGTTGAACAATTACACAAGCAAGAAACGGACATTCCTTTCAGAAATAACTTAAATATTCAACAGAAAGTAAAATCTGGTCGATCAAGGGACACTATACCTCAGTATGAGATGGGAACCCGTAGTCAAATGAATAATCGGGATGCTCTAGAGTCATTCTTACAAGCCTCTGTACTGCCAACATCATAGTTACAACATATTACTACACTACCAGCATGAGAACAATAGCTGCTCTCTCTAGTCTCTATCTGAACAAAATCTCAAGTCTCAACACTAGGGGTGGCCATTTCGGTTATTAACCGAATAACTGAGCCGAACCGAACCGAATAAGACATAACCGTATCCGAACCGAATCCGACATCAAAACCGAACGGTTATGATTTACTTAAACCCAAAAAACCGAAACCGAAACCGAACCGAATAAAAAATAACCGAAAAAACCGAGAGAATAACCGACATTTTCTTTGGAAAATTGAACTTTTTACCAAAACCGAACCGAACCCGAACCGAAAAATAACCGAACCGAACCGAACCGGAATTTCTATAAAAACCGAATGGTTATAGTTTTTCTATAACCGAAATAACCGAACCCGAATATAACCGAACCGAACACGAACCGAAACCCGAATTGGCCACCCCTACTCAACACCAGGTTCTACCTTAGCTTCGAACAGATTACTTTCCATGCTCAAATTTACTGTTTACATCATCAACTTATGTTTTTCTATATCCGTAAATGTCCGCACCTGCTCAGGAGTCTCTTTATCTAGAGATTCCTGCTTGAACTTTTCTATCAGATCATTGTTTGCGTCACGTTGCAGAACCCAGGCGAGATACTGAGAGTAGAAAAACAAAATAAATGACAGCCACTTTAATAAACCTTACAATTACAAGCTGAGAAATTAACACATACCTGCAAATCTTCTTTCTTCTTAAAGGTCATCAGAAAAGCTACCATATCATCCTTGGACCTTTTCGATGGATCGCTTAAGCTCGAACCAAACTTCTTGTCATAAACATTGAGAAATTCCTTCCATCCGCCATTCTCGCCCTGCAAACCTCGCTTCTGAACTATCTTCAACAGGGTTTGCAGCACCTTACCGAAAATTTTCGAACGTCAAATACAAAATCCAAAGACGCAGAAAACGGATTGCCAATCCAGAAATCACAAAGTTTTTCCAAAAAAAAAGGGGCTCAAACAGATAGAAACACGTACTCTTCTCTCCGCGGTCGCTAGTTTCTGCTCCATTAGCAAGTTCCGGCGGCAGTAAACGGAGAATTGCAATATCGATTTTATCTGCTAAGTCGATCCAAATCACAGTCAGAGAAACACCTAAATAATATCTAGTTTTTAAAACACATATGAACAAAAGATTCAAGAAAAAGTTTTGTTGAACAATTAAAACACATAGGGCAGCTATCTAGCAACTATAGATTCAAGAAAAAGTTTCAACTTTTCACCAGAAATTTCAGTAGCAAAGTAACTTGCTGAAAACAAAATGGCTCAGACATTGTCAATTTGTTAGTCCCGCTACTGAGATATCTCAATTGAGTCCACACAAAGAAATTGAGGATGGTAAAAAAAAAAATACTCTAATGATACATATAAATCCCAATTGAATCTTATTAGGAATGGTACAACCACACGAAGAACTCACAGAGACAGAGAACTAACCCATCACCCATGGACACTATCGAACATGAACTCAAAGAAGTAACCCATCACACATGTATTCAGACTATCGAACCAACCCATCACCCATGAACACTATCGAACACGAAACAAAGGAGAAACTCACAGAAGAGGAAGTTTCGGTGTCGCGGAACAGGGAGTGCGATTCCGAAAGCTGGGGAGAGAAGACAGAGGAGATTGAAGGAGACAACGCAGGGTCGAGTCGGGTAAGGAAGAGAGAGGATACCGGTGGTTCACGACCGAGGCTGGAGCAAAATCACAGACAATCGACGAAGGAAACAACGCAGGATCGAGGCAAAACAGGCGAAGAAGGAGGCTGGAGGCGAGGTACGGTCGGGCTCGAGGCAAGGCAGGGTCGAGGCTGGAGAAAAATCACAGACAGGCGACGAAGGAGAAAACGCAGGATCGAGCTCGCGGCGAAGGAGGCTGAAGGCGAGTCAGGGTCAAGCTCGAGCAAAATCACCGCGGCGACACAGAAGACGACGAAACAGTCGACGACAGGAGGCAAGGCAGGCAGAGGAGGTAGACAGAGAGCGAGGAGAGTTAGGCGTCAGTGTCGTCGACTGGGAAGGGGTTTTTTACCCAAACAACCCACTTCGGTCGCATCTATTTCACCTGTGCACCACCAAAAACATAACACATTTTTTTTCCTGTAAAAAGACGAAATTACCCTTAATGAATCACGATATTTATCCATTCAAAAACAACTTCGTTATTACGACTTCGTAATTAAGTCTAAATATAGTTACAATTGATTCTTAAAAAGGTGGTAAAAAAATTATCTGCCTTATTTTAGTTGTATATCAGTTATATGTTAGTCGTAATAAAGTCGCAAAAAATAAAACGAAAAGGGTATTTCGGACTTTTCCACCCGAAAAGTGGGTTAAAATTGAAAAATTTTTTTTTTTTTTTTTTGGTGGTGTACACTGAAATAGATGTGAATGAAGTGGGTTATTTGGGAGATTTTCCCACTGGGAAGTGGAGGAGGACGGGAAAAAAACCCTAAATTTTTATGTCCATCGGTTTAATCGGGTAACCGAAACCGGGTATTTGCCCGGGGACATTGTTGGTTAATGCTGTGATTTATAGGTCCAAACAGTAAGAAGAGAACACTAAAACTGTGATATTCGTCACTACGGTTACTCTTTGCCTAACATAAAAAGACTACTCCCACCCCCACGGTCTACGTGATAACCCCATTCATAAATCAGGTTTGGTTTACAAGGTTTTCCAATGCAAACCGGTAAAAAGATAACCGGGTCCAAGATCAAACCAAACCGAATGGGAAAGAAAGACTCGTGAGTTTTACACAGATTCTCATATCTAAGAAGTGAAGCTAAAAGATGAAGTGATACAATCAAAAGCTCTAATAAATTTGCTTGCAACAAGATGAAACCTGAGTAAACAAAAGAATCACAAACTAAACAAGGACTTGGAATCCTTTCACAAGGCACAAAAACCATATACACTACACAGCCTGAATGATCTTCCAAGACAGAACAGGGTCAAGGTTTTTGGTTGAGTTACTACAAATCAGCTGTAAGCCAAGTGAATTAACCTTACTAGATGATGGCTCTGCTACCACAAGGCTTTTTCTTTGCCTCTCGACCGCCCGAGTGAGAGTTGATCTGTCAGTTTCTCGGTCATATATGAACTGCTTTTCTTGAGTTTTCCCGGAAAATCCTTGCTTGAATTCCCCTTCAAGGTGAGGTTTTTCTTAACGCGGTTCCTGTTGAGAAGCATCATGGTGCTTCTTGGAGGCACGTTCAGAGCGCTTTCGACACAGTCACCCACCTGGGCACAGCCCCACGGCCTTGTAGATGGCCCATCTTCTCGGAAAGGTTTGAGCTTTGGGAAATTGTTTCGTACTCGGGAGAGAGGAGAGTTCTCTCCTTCCCGTTTCGTGCATACTGGACAAGGTGGGTCATTCCTCTGGGTCTTTGGTGTTGTCTGATCCAGACATTCTGCGTGAAAGACGTGGCAGCATGGTAGCACTCCTGTGACAGGCATGTCTCCACTTCTTATGATCCGATGAGAACCCCAAGGTGATCTCTGTGAGAGGAACCTGTCACACAATCCGCATTTAAAAGTTTTTGACACTGTTGACGGTGGTAGAGTTGAATTTTCCGACTCAATTAGCTCGGAAACATCCACCGTATCGATGCTACTGCTGGCGCTGCTCCAACTGCAGGCATCTGCAGAGTCAGATGCTTCTCTAACAGTCTCAGAAGGAAACATCAAAGGGTGGACGGGTTTGGACAAGAAAAAACGCCGGCTTGAGATGTTGCGGTGGGATGACGTGTGTGCCCTTGCAGTAGATTCAGAGTCACCACTGTCAGAAAACGATGAAAATGAACCCCCGATATCCGCATTTCTCGATGTTCCCTGTAAAAGTGGAAATATATATGATTGCAGCAAATTTCCGATAAATAAGTTACTTTTGTTTACGATGGCAACATGATTACCTCTACTGTAGGAGTAAAAGGGACTTTTCTGAGAATATGATCTGCCCAAAGACAGGAGTTAGTTAGAATTTGCTCCCAATCAGAACCAAACTAAAATTAAGTTCTTAGAGTGGTAAAGCTCAATAACGTATAATGCAATGTTAAACACAAACCTCCCCTTCTCAAGCTTTCACAACTGTTAGCATTGACATCTCGTAAAGATGGAGGAGTAAATTGAGGACACTGAGAAAGGTCAGAAGGACTGCTTAAAAACACCCCACCACCATCGGATACAGTGTAGCGGTGACCAAGAAGAAAACTACCACTTCTCGCCCAGTTATGACTGTTTGATGATGCAGATGAGTCATAAAACCTGATACCATCATTAACCCCATTGGAGTCCCATCTTGAAGGGGGAGGGGAGAAACTTGTATTAGTCCTCCAATACGGTTCATGTGGGCCAACAGAGCAGTCCCTGCTTTCAGCATTTGATTCATGTGGCCTTGCAGCCACGCAACAGAGTGAACCCATATTTTCTAGAGCAGCCCTCTAGACAAATCTCGCAATATCCTCGGGTTGAAACAGATAGGGGAAAGTTCAACTTTTGAGAGATTAAAGTGTATCACACTGAAAAAAGTTGCAATGAGCAAACTAGCTCACCCAACCACCCAATTCAACAAATTTTGAGACCAAATTTCGAAACTTTGTAACAGCTCACCGATTAAAATGCATAGAAAAAGTTTAGAGTCTGGGATCTGCTATGTGTCTATTGGCCTCAACCTAGCATTTCCCGGCAATCGGAAAAACCAACGCAACCTATCACTTCTCTGCTGGACTCAGAATCGCAAAACCTAAAATAGAAAGCAAAGAATCAGGAAGATTACCATCAGAATGTGTTAAAACTGTTCATTGAACTCCATTGTCAAAAGCATAAAGAGAATTTGGGCATAACAAAAAAGTATTATCTCAGTTTCATCCTACGACCAACAAGATGTAGCCACAAAATTAAAAATCAATTCTTCAAAATTACCCAGAAGCAGAAAACGCAGCAATCAAATACGGAGAACACGAAAGCAAACGATCTCGTAAGTTCGTAACAGAACTTCTCATGGCATCGCAGAATCATTCCGGAGACGGAATTGAAAAGATCGATCGTGAATCCCAAAGAACTGTTCAGAAGAGCATAGTAGAGTTCTTGCGGAAGAGTGGAAGGGCTTACAGATACGAAACAACGGGAAGAGACAACAGTTGTCGGAAGAAAAGGTATCCCCCTTGGCGGTTTCCTGCCGAGAGAATCGATCGAGAACCCTAATTTCTCGAGGGGGAGGGAGTCTACCTCATCAGACAGTTTCCGCCCAAATCACTTGCTGTATTTATTTAATTCGCATTAATTATAAACAATGGAAATAAAATTCCTTAAACGGTAACTAAAATATTCCAACTGTTGATAGAAGAGTAACAAATATTAAATAGTCAAATCATAAATTAAGATAGTCCATATATGGAATGGAATTAATATTAATATATTATGGTTGTTAGTTAGGAATGATTATCACTGTGGTTGGGCGTGACCAATTTATTAATAAATCGATATCTAGGTTTCATGTAAAGATTGGTGTTCGTATTAATTTATTTCGTTAAATCAAAATGTATATATTGTGGTTGTAACTAATTATTAATAAACCAAATACCAGATCTAATATATCTATAAATAAACTAATTATTAATTTATTATGTTAATCAAAATACGAAAAATTTCAATACAAATAAGCTTACAAGAATATACACATAATGTTTAGCAATTGAAAACATTAGCCGACTATGCCAACAAGGCCACGAGATCGTCTATCGACTTTAACGTCTTCTCGTAGTAGAGGTACGATTCGTATACCTTCGGTGTCCGTACGTAGTAATCCAGCTGCTCCAATAAAATTTAAATAATATAATATGAAAAATGAATTTATTATTTTTTAAAATGAAATTATTTGTAGAATGTTACGTAAGGTTAATTAATGATAATTACGGTTATTAATGATGTACCTCGGTCATGTTTTCGACGAGCTCGTTGGCCTTCGTGACGTAATCTTTCCGGCGAATCTCCGGCAATAAGTTCATGGCGTTGGTCAGGTCCTGCGACAGGTAAGACTGTTTCAGCCTTATATAGAATATAACGTACCTCCACGACATGTGGTCCAGCATCTCCCTGATGCTCCTCAGCCCCTCCGCCGTCTGTTTTATACGCGCCGCCGCGTCCTCCGGCGATAGCCCCGGCTCGAAGTACTTCTCCCTTATGAACGACCTCACCCCCCACTTCTCCGCCGCCGCTGACGTGGCGGATGCTCCGTGGGCGGCGACGGTTAGGAGGATTGTGGTCAGGGTTCTCCGGCGAGTTGCGCCACCGTTTGTGAGGCTCTCGTGTTGGGTTTGATCTGAGGAGGCGACGGCGGAGAACGTCGGTTGACGGCGGCGGCTGGGACGGAGGAGAGACGGTGGGGGAGTGGTACCACTGTCAGAAAACGATGAAAATGAACCCCACCCAATGCAGACTAAAAAGAACAAAGCACAGAAGATATTAGATAAGTGGTATTATAACATATCAAGAACATGATATAAATGTGAAATTCCTCTCTGGTTTCCCTAGAGCAGAGAGCCATCAAAGACTTGCCTTGCACAGATTATTCAGCGAAGGTCTTCGACGCTTATATCCATTGGAAAACTTGAATATAAGTGAAGTATCAATTACTCTGGCATGATCTATCTTCATCGCTGGGATTCAAAGATGTGCAAGAATAATTAACTTCAATAACAATCTGTCACATACACAAACAAGTATAACTTTCTTTTTTCTTACCTTTCAGATCATTGTTCAAACTGTGACCTACCAAGATAGTATCCCTAGAGAGAAACCTCCGCATTTTTTTCTGCGAAATTCAGAGGATAACATATAGACTGAAACCTTGCCACTGAAAAAAAGGCCCCAATGGGACGACCAAAATAAAGACGCCAAACGTAAAAGCATGATAGGGGATGGGTCGTGAAGGCGCTGATTGGTTTTATGGTTTTTTTTTTTTTTGTGGATAGAGTGTGGGAGGAGCTGAAAATAAAAATTTTCTGCTCTTTTTTTCTGTTTATCGGAAAATAAAAAATTTCTTCCCCGGCTTCGTGTTCCGCCACGTGGCACGTTATCTGCTAAAAACGTTTATATAAAAATCGAAAAGTACCACGGGAAAAGGAAAAAACCGAGTTAGTCCAATATTACATTACAACCCAAATTTCTTATTTCAAGATTTTTAATATATACTTTATATTCCCATTTTTTTTTCCTTGTGGTCAATAAAAAAAAAAGTCTGGTTATTAGAGTAGTTAAACAGAAGGTTTAAAGAACAGCCCAGGCCCATAACCAGGCCCAACACGCAGTTTTGAAATCAAAGTTTCGAAATTATATAAATGGGCCCATGCCCAAAATCAAACAAAGTTAAACAGAAAATGTTTTGCTTTTGCTCTGATTTCAAGTTTCCATTACACGCAAACTGAAGAAGAATTCAATCGCTCAGTTCTTGTTCTTGTTTCTTGTTCTGTCCAGAGGGTTCTCATTTCGCTAGCCAATCGGAGAAACGCAGGAACGAATGTAGGCCGCTCATCGTGACTTCTGGGGAACGAATTAAGGGTTTTGAGGGTTTGTCGGGGTTTCTTCCGAGTATCTTTCGCCATTCCTCGATTATTCGTGAAGTTCGTGCCATCTTCTGAATCTGGGTTTTTTTTTTCTTCTGGATTTTTGTTTCGTTGTTTTGGCATGTGTTGTCGGGCAGGACGCTTACATGAGAAAGTACAGAGGAAGAGATGAAAGAGGAAGGTGGATAGAGAAATCAAAGACAGGAAAAAGTCAGAGGGACCTCCTCGTCCAGGATTCATTCTGCAGATGGAACAGAACAAAGACTCTAAGGTAGATCAACTCTAACCTGAATTTTTTTTGTTATGTTACATCCTGTAACTGCTGTATGATGGCATCCCCTTTCTTCCATGTTTCTTGGTGAAATCTGAAAATTATTTGGTGGGTGGTGTTGTTGGATCAGGTAGAAGATATGAGGCTGATCTCCCACCGCGAAGTGAAGGTGACAATACCTTTCAAGTTTCAACTCGACAACTCGTATGTTTAAAGCTTTTGTTTTTCACAATTTACAATTTTTCAATTCAGTGCTTAATCAGGGAAAATAGTTAAGTTTGGGGCCACTTGTCGTTTAGAGGGAAAAAAAGCCTTGAAACGACGTCCTTGTATAGCGCAATATAATTGGTTCCGACGCTCCTTTTTCCCGCGACCCGAGGGAAATGGACCGGAGCCGAGAAGCGCAGACCCAGACCCGGATTCTTCTGGCGTCTTTGTCGGCGATGGTCGCCGAGACCGTGACGTTTCCGATTGACCTCACGAAGACCAGAATGCAACTCCAGGGCTCAGGCGCCGACCGGGTCGGTGCGATCCGTGTCGTTTCGGAGATCGTGCGACGGGAGGGTGTGTCGGGTCTCTACAAAGGCCTGTCTCCGGCGATTATCAGACACCTCTTTTACACTCCGATCAGAATCGTTGGTTACGAGAATCTCAGGGGATTTGTCGTCGAAGACGGTGGGTCTCTCCCTCTTCCGACCAAGGCACTCATCGGTGGCGTCTCCGGAGTCATAGCCCAGGTAATGATTGCTTCATCCTTCGTCTTTCGAATCATCTGGATTCCATTTTATTGAATGTTCTTACTCGCAGTGATCTGCAATGTTGAAAATGGGTCTTTGCGGCAGACAGATTTCTTGACCAATTTTAACTTTTGGGAGTGATAAGATTAGTGGATTTGAACTGGAAGAATTGCCATTGAAAATGCTGTGTAGAAGAAGGCGGTAAGAAAGAGACTTTTGCGCAAAATGTGTAGCTTTTAGGCGCTAAATTTTGGTTGAAGGAGAGGGACATTATCTTTTGGTTTTCGCCAATAGATTCTGTGGCGCTCCAATAACTTGCGGTGTTTGGCCATTTGATATTCCCGTGGAATGGAGACTTAAATTTACAATTCTGCTTGCTACAAATTCTCTTGATGTATCCATGGAAGGCACTGCTGTTATACCATAAACCAAAATATGGTTCTAGCTTTCTCATTTCCTTCTTCTTTAAGAGGAGAGCTGTCTTGGTATTCCATTGAAGTGGAAAAGTAAATGTCTGCCTTCTAGTTCTGTTGGGAGTTCTATCACGACAAGTTTCATTGATGTTTTCTTTGATACTTTTTGTGGATACCCGTAAATCAGAGAGCGATTCTGGCTTTCTGGATTGTTGTTTCCTTCCCAAGGATGGACTTGATCTCTGTTCTTACTGAAGGGACAGATTAAGATGCTTCTTGTTTGTATGGCTAGAAATGCAGGTAGTGGCCAGCCCTGCTGATCTTGTCAAAGTGAGAATGCAAGCAGATGGAAGATTGATGGGTCAAGGCCTCCAACCGAGATACTCGGGGGCATTTCATGCTTTCACCAATATCCTCCAGTCTGAAGGAATTCGAGGGCTATGGAAAGGGGTTTTCCCGAACATCCAGCGAGCTTTTCTCGTGAACATGGGGGAATTAGCCTGCTACGACCATGCAAAAAGCTTTGTCATACAAAGCAATATCTCAGAGGATAACATCTATGCACACACACTGGCTTCTATAATGTCAGGTCTTGCCTCCACAGCCCTGAGCTGCCCGGCTGATGTGGTGAAGACGAGGATGATGAACCAGAGTAAGGACGATTACAGGAATTCTTACGATTGTTTGGTGAAGACGGTCCGGTATGAAGGGACACGAGCTTTGTGGAAGGGGTTCTTCCCGACATGGGCAAGGCTTGGCCCTTGGCAGTTCGTGTTCTGGGTCTCTTACGAGAAACTCCGACAGCTCGCAGGGCTATCTTCCTTCTAGCTAGTAGGCCCTCTCTCCTGTTAGATCTCTTCAAGGGAGGAGTCTGATGTTTAGATCATCAAAATCTGTTTTGTGGTCAATTTCTGCAGAGTTACCGAAGTAAGATCTTCAGTTTACAGTTTTTCTTGTTCAATTCTAACTCGGTCATTCATGCATTGATCTAAAATATTGCTTTTTGTCCAAAAAAATATTAATTTTATTTAGACTATGCTTTAATATTAAAGTTTTTGACTGTTCTAAACTGTGATCCAGATGTTATGTAATGTAACTGTACATTGTATAAATACATTAAATTATTGCTTTAGCAAGAAAATGACAAAACTGTTGCCGAATTCCTGTTTTTTCTGCGGATCGTTCCTTTATTCTTTTCATTTTTTTTTTCTGCAGATATTTAATAATACTATTGTTTTCTGAAATCTAAAGATCGATTTTTAGGTCAACACAAGTAAAGCTTCAATCTTTCCTTTGCTTCGTATAAAACAAATATTGAATTCCGTGTTGGAACTTCGGCTGGATAGGAAGCCCAGAGAAATTCTGCAGATCGAGGTGCTTTCGCTTTCCTCCTCTACTTTTTCCTTCTGTAACTGCGTGTTTGCCCATTTGCCGTCTCTTCTCTATTTTCTCGGGAAAATCCAGAAAGAAGAGGTTTCCATCAGACAACTTCGAAGGAAATAAGGTAACCTGTCCCTCCATGTCTGAAAATATACAAGCACATAAACGTGTGTCTGCATGTATACTCACATTTTACAGCACAGAGTCAGAGACGCGAAAAATCTCTGGGGTAGACATTACAGTGCAGATCACACTTAACCAACAATTGCTTTTTGAGAGCAGACAGGGTATACTTATGTTTGAAATATGTTTAGTTCGCTGAGGAAAAAGTTGAAGTATTTCAATTGACAATCCATCGACTTTTCCTGAGGTAAGAAAAAGGGTTGAGTCATCATGTTTAGCTTGTTTTGGAAATAGGTTTCTTCTATTTAGACGAAATTTCCTCTTACCATCGTTTCTTGGGCTGTCTGGATCGTTCTGGTTAGAGCGTTCCTGGGTTGGGGCAGGAATCGAGTGAGATCATATACAGGTTTGCCATTGTTTGGATAAAGTTTTAAACTTCCTTGCCCATACTTTGTTTTCACTCTGACGCTTGATACAGATTATCTTGCATTTGCATAGCAATCTTCTCGAGTCAACTGTTAGATTATGTTTGCTGATACCTCAAGTTCAATCAGAAAGTTTTTTCCTTTTTAAGACATTGAGCTAACTTGTGATGACTGATTAGTTTGAATCTCTGTAGTGAAGAGGAACTTCTAAACAAGAAGAGCTTGCTAGAAATGGGGAAAGATAGAGAAGTCATTCCAACGATCGATTTGGAAGAGGTTCCTGAGAAAATATTGAACCTAAGAATCCGAGAAGCTAGTGAGAGATGGGGATGTTTCAGGCTGATGAACCATGGCGTGCCTTCGGCTCTGATGTCTGAGATGAAGGAGACAGTGAGGAGTCTTTTCGACCGTCCAGATGATGTGAAGAGGCGAAACACAGATGTGATTCTGGGAAGTGGATATAAGGCTCCTAGCAAGATCAATCCTCTCTATGAAGCATTGGGTCTCTATGACATGGCCTCTTCTCGAGCTGTTAATACCTTCTGTGACCAACTCGAAGCCTCTCCTGGACAAAGGTTTTCTCTATCTTTCTCATCGTTTCTTTATGTAGAGTAAAGTTTTAATGTCCCTTTCTTGACAATATTGTACCCTCTGTCCAAATTGATGCACCTCCATTGTTTCATGACAAAGTTTTCCAATCTCCCTTTCCCTGTTCCTACCTTTCTTTTTCTGTTTTCACTCATCTGGCTGAGCATCTCAGTTTTGTGTCCTGTGTTCTGAAGTTTCTGCTGTACTTTCTTGGCGAATTACCCGGGTCAAGGTTCATGTATACATGTGGGTTCATGACAAAGGTTTTATATTTGCCCCACTTTGTTTTTCTTTGTTCTGAATTGGTGTCTTGATGTCCTTCCTACAGCGAAATTTCAGCAGTTGGCATGATGAGTAGTTTGCATAGCCCGAGTTGAATGTCACGCGCACATGTAGCTTTATATGTCCTCGTGGACTTTTGGTCTTCTTCTTGTTGCAGGGAGACTATACTGAGCTATGCTAGAGCTATTGATGGTCTTGCAAAGGATTTAGCTCGGAGACTAGCAGAGAGTTACGGGCTGCAGAATGATTTTTTCTCGGGATGGCCAAGTCAATTTCGAATTAACAAATACCATTTTAAACCAGACTCAGTGGGGAAACCCGGTGTTCAATTGCACACGGATTCCGGATTCTTGACAATCCTTCAAGATGATGAAGATGTCGGCGGCCTAGAGGTGATGGACAGTTCCTCCCAAGAGTTTGTTCCTGTAAATCCTTTGCCGGGCACACTTCTTGTCAACCTCGGTGACATGGCTTCGGTAAGATCAATCATGGTTAATGTGCTAAAATTCCAAAGTGAACAATGTATTAAAGTTGTGGTTCTTACTCATTTTCTTTTCAGATATGGAGCAATGGAAGGTTGTGCAATGTGAAACATAGAGTGCAATGCAAAGAAGCAACTATTAGGATCTCTATTGCATCATTCCTCTTGGGGCCAATGGATACAGCTCTGGAACCTCCAGCTGTGTTTGTGGACTCTGAACATCCTCGTCTGTATGTGCCTATCAGCCATGAAGGGCTTCGTAAGATTAGAATGACTAAGGGTCTGCATGCCGGTGAAGCTTTTGAGCATTTACGTGCAAACCAGGGAGATGATTGACCGGAAAACTGATTGGGTTGTATTATTATTGTATTACGGCATAAAAAAAACTGCATATATGTTGTGAGCAGTTTCAATGGCACGCATAAGAAGGAAAAATAAAACTCGTATCTGTCACCACATGTGATCCTCACTGGATATGTGCTATATATATATATATATATGAGTATATTTGCCTTTAGATCTCTCTCTGTGATGCTGCATTTCTCTTGTTTTTATTTTCCAAGGATTATTGGAGTTGTGCTATAGGGCGAGTAAAGAAAAGCACGAGAGAAAGACAAGAAGAGGAAGAAGTAGGAGGCAATCTGCTTCTTCTTTTGGTAAAGAATCACTTCATACATACTGAAAAAGTACTTACAAAAAAGTAGCTTCTTTTGGCATTGCAGCGGTTATCTTGCCGTAAACCATTGTTATCTCCATAATCTTTCAAGTATTTTTCACGAGTCGTCTACTAATTTAAGCCCCCATGTAATGTCCTCACAATGTCTCACGTGAGGCACGACATTACCCGTATCAATTCCTTTCTTGGCTTTGCATTCATAGTAAGGAGGAGCATGGAAACAAGGGTCAGGTGACATGGCTATGGCACAGGGAGGATCAGGCATTGTCGTCTGGTTTTCGGGCTTGAAGAGAATCCAAGCTTTTAGCCCTCCAAGCCCCTGAGCTACATACCCGAATGTAGACCAGGCACTTATTACCAATTTGTCGGTTAAACTAAGAAGATACATTTCTGCCCAGGCCTTCCTGTTGTGCATAAGCTTCTCCGTTTGTTGGTGTCCTTCATGACTTGGCTGATGAACTCCAATCACATCCCCGGTTACAGTAGGGTTTTCCCAGTACATGCTTTTCAAGATTTCAGAGTATCCTGTTGTCAGTGATGTGACCAAGACAGCTTTGTGTTTCGAGTTTTCTGATGGCTTAGTAGTAAAGGGTTCTCTTTTGGTTAACTTTGGTAGCAATTCCTCGGATTGAATGCAGGAAATGATTTGACGGGTCACATGTGGAGATACGCCGGACTTTTCATCGAAGACTCTTATCTGAAGGCCGATCCTCTCATCTGCCTTGGCTAGGTAAGCTTGATAGTACCTTGTTACCAGTCCCCAGACGTGATTCGTAGGGTGGAAAAGGTATCGACCCATGAGGTGAAAAATCGTTCCTTTCTCAGGAAACAACTTCTCGAGCTCGTTCTCAAGAGATGGGATCAAGAAGAGCGATGGGACAAAGTAGTTATTTGTCCTCATGATCAACCAGGGGACATTCTCCAGGAAACTTTGGTCTTCTTGGCAGAAGAACATCTTGTCGTGGTCGCTGTAATCATGGGACAAATGGAGATACAGATGAGAAGGGGGTGAAACAGATGACGTGTTAACCAGTTTCCTCTTCAGCATATTGCCGTAACAATCAGGTGAGTCCTGGCCAAACTTACTGAACTGAGCAAGTAAAGGAAAATCCAGTGGCAACAACCATGATGTCTCTGGGAATGGCTCGCAGAAGAGATCAGAGACTTGCTCTCCCCCTTCGACAAGCAGGATTCTGTCTGTCAGGATTGCGTATAGAAACGCAGAAGCGATACTGATAATCCGATTCCCCAACCCACTGAATGACATCAAGACAACATACTTACAGCCCTCTGCCTCTGAACCACCAGCGTGTTTCAGCCCTGCAGCAGCCTTGGCATACGGTCTGGAGCCGGGTCCACATCGTCTGTGAAGCTCTTCATAGGATCTAAGCTTCGAGAGGAGATACGATGAAGGTTTATGGATCGATGCTTTCCGGTACATGAATGATTGGTATCTACTCAAGCAAGAATCTTCATGGAAACCAGACACAAGAAGCCCCCCGAGCAGTTTCTTCTCATCGGACATTTCCTCGCGTTTGGACAAATCTTCCGAACCTGGCAATGGGAGAAGATGAACATCTCTGGTAAAACCAAACATAGAAACAAACCAAGAGAAGAGAACATGCGATCATGCCTTCTACCAGTGGTCCAGCGTTTTGTTTCTGATTAAACCCCTTGTCCAGACCGACCCTCTGATCATCTGAAAATGTCGCATTTGGTTCCGGTTTCACAACCATGACCCTGGCTTCTGCAAAGCCATTGCCTTGATGATACGAGTCATGTCCGAAGAAAATCACGAGTACTAGCAGAACCGGGAAGATAACCAAGAAAATAGCCAAGATCTTCGTGATTGTCATTGCCCCGAGCAAACTGAATCTTCTCTCAGGGACACCGAACGGTTCTTCAGGCCGTTGATCAATGGCCTTGGAAAGAGATTGCCTCCTCCTGAAGGAATGCAGATCCATTAAAAAAACCCTATGATCCAAAACAGAAGGAAGAAATCAATCTAATCTCTCCCCTTATGCTGCAATTTCTGTGAGTTATGGAGATGGAAAGATGATGAGGCTAAGATCAGATTTGTTCACTGAGCCGTGATTAGAAGCCACGTAAGTTACAGAAATGGAAAATTGTGGAATCACGATCCTTAATATATATATATATATATATATATATATTTGTATTTTTAAAACCAACAAAAAAAGACCCTTTGTATTCCTCTGATTCAGGGATCAAATCTTGAGGGGAAGTAAATCTGTGAGATAATAAAGAGCTAACCTTTAGCAATTATATCATATATATAAATTCATCAGAAAACAAAATGCAACCAAAAAAATTTCTGGCAGAAGCTAAATATCAAAGGGGGCATCAACAAGCTTAAGCCCCCAACTCATATCCTCACAATGCCTAACATGAGGGAGGATCTTGCCCGTGTCGATTCCAGTCTTAGCTTTACAGTCATAGAACGGAGGAGCATGGAAACAAGGCTCCATTGACATGGCCCGACCGCAAGGTGGATCAGGAGCTGTCCTGTTTTCTGGCTTGTGAAGTATCCAAGGCTTTAACCCTCCAAGACCTTGAGCCACATACCCGAATGTAGACCAAGCGCTCGTGACAAGTTTATCTGTCATGCTCAATAGGTACATCTCGGCAAGTGCCTTCCTGTTGTGTAGCTTCTTCTCTGTCTGCTGGTAACCTTCCTGACTTGGCTGGTAAACTCCGACAATGTCCCCTGTTGAAGTTGGTAGTTCCCAGTATATGCTCTTCAGATTCTCAGAGTATCCAGAGCTCAGAGATGTGACCAGTACAGCTTTGAGTCTAGGGCTTTCCTGTGGGGTGGTGATGTGGGATTCTTGTGTTTCTACTTCAGGTAAAAGTTTTTCTCGGCGGGTACAGGCCACGATTTGATCCATCACGTGCTGAAAAGGGCCCGCGCCCACATCGAAAACTCTGATCTGAATCCCGATTCTCTCATCTGCCCTTGACAAGTAAGCTTCGTAGTACCTCGTGACTAGGCCCCATACTTGGTTTGTGGGGTGAAATAGATACCGGCCCAAGTGGTGGAAGATGGTTTCTTTCTGCGGGAATAGCTTGCTTAGTTCTTGATCCAAACCTGGGATCAGCCATAGAGATGGCACAAAGTAATTGTCTGTTTTGACAATCAACCAAGGCATTTTCCCGATGACAGATTGGTCTCCTTCACAGAAGAACATCTTATCATGATCCCCGTAATCGTGAACAAGGTGAAGATAAAGGTAGGGACGAACTTTTTCTGTTGATGAATCTATTGCGTGATTCTTCAGCAAGTTTCCGTAACAAAGAGAGGATTCCTGATTCAGCCCGTCAAACTGACCCGTCAGTGGAAAATCCAAAGGCAGTAACCACGATGCACCTGGAAACGGCTCGCAGAAAATATCATCCAAATCCTTCCCCCGATCAACAAGCAAGACTCTGTCTGTCAAGAGGGCGTAGAGAAACACAGAAGCTAGAGAGAGTATTCGGTTTCCCAACCCACTAAACGATACCCAGACAACATATTTGCATTCACCAGAGGCAGTGGTAACTTGTTCGTGATCGAGTTGCTCCAGGGCTTTCTTGTAAGCTTCAGTACCCGGACCGCAACGCTTGTGAAGCATTTCATAGTTTCTAAGTCTGGAGACGAGATACTCGGAGGGCTTGTAGGGAGAATGCTTACGATAGAACGCTGACTGATACCTACTGCGGCAAGAATCTCCATTGAACTCAGCAGAAAGAAGCCCTCCCAGTAGTTTAACATCCGATTTATCAGAATCACTTGTACCTATGGTATCAAAGAAAAATCAGTACAGCATATATCTAAGATATGAACAAACAGATCAACTTCTTGAAGAAATCAATGACAGCCACAACCAACCAAGGACGCTATTTCCCTGCGAAATCCACTGAAAAGTCCCAGTTTTTACGTATAAATTCACACTTCAAGCAACCGGATTGAAGAAAACAAGTGAATTGGCATCCATTGAACACCTAGCATTTCGATCGAACCAACATAAAGGATCACAGAAACCTACGAGTGGTAATAGATCAGACGAGATCTGACCCAGTGAATCCAAGCTCCGACCACCTAGGATACACGAAAGAACGGAACAGAAGAGAGACTTTCGTACCGAAGGTCGTAAGATTCGGCGAAGTTCCAGTGTCGAGGACTCTAGCGTCGGCGAAGCCCATGATCCGATGAAGATCAGAAGGTTGTCGGCGGAAGATCATGGAGAATGCCAGTAGTACCGAGAACAGTATCAAGCAAGTAGTGAAGGTCCTCGTGAGCTTCATCGTACCGGATCCGAGAAACTTCCCCGGAGCTTCGACACAATCGGCGACGGAGATTTTGATCGGAGACGCTCTCCTCCGTCGCGGATTTGGATCCATTTGAAAGTCTCCGTTCCGTTGAAGGCGTCACGAGCAATTCAGACATGGCTCCACGGCTGTCTTTTATTTCCTCTAAATTTAATTAGAAAAAAATTATTATAAATACAATCCAATCAAATCACCTCAGACTTATTATTAGTTTTCTGATTAGACATAAAACTTTAATATTTACTGTTTGGACCTTACTGTAACAATATTCTGTCTTTTCAAAGATTGGAACTTTATCTGCAATTTGAACAGTCAGAGAGGTGTTTTTGTTCTAATTATCTGATCCTCGCAAGCTCACGCCTAAGCATACATATATTGAGCAAATTGTAAACTAACCACAGGGAGGTATTTGAAGATAAAGAAACTTTGGAGATAAAATTACAATTATCAATACTTTAAGGGCTATAGCTAAAGTTTTCCGATAGCAGACAAATCGAACGTGCTAATCACGTGCTCAGCTGAGTGATGGCCATCCGAAAAAAAAAATCTCAACAAAGTTGGAAACTTTTTCTGCAGGGGTTTATCCCCTTAGCAGACTCACGGCAGCTGCGAACCCTAGCGAGTTTCTTGAACGTGACTCGCGATTTGACTCGCCGATGCTATCGCCGACGATCGGGCGACGCAGCAGAGAGATCCTCCGGCCGGTTTTCGCGGGAGGCAAAACTGGGGAACAGAACAGAAGTTGGAGATGAGATTGATGTGTCTCTTCATCTCACCATTGTTGAGAAACTGAATCGTACAGGTAAGGAATCGCAATGAATCAATGGTAGATTTCAACTGTTTAGAATGTTTTAATTAATTAAGTATTTTTTTGTTTCAAATAATTATATTATGTAAGTGATAAATTGATATATTTATTACATTTTTCGACCATTTGTATTATTTTAGGATAAGATTTTTTGCGTTACTCTTTTATTTAATAAAATATAACTTAAAACTTTTATAAAATTTTAAATTAATTCTAATATAAAAATTGAATTTTATATATACATCGTACATCGTCTAATATATACTTTAAGCGTTTTTAAATATAAGAGGCAAAAACCGAACGTGTTAATACGTGATCAGTTGAATTATGGCGAATAGAAATGCATATAAATTATAATCGAAAGGGAAACAAAACTAATAATTAGTTAATGCATGTAAAAAAGTAACGTATACAAAATAAAATAAAATAAAATATTAATAATTTAATAGCCACAAAATGGGTTTTTGAAGGGTTTTGTGGGAAGGTCGGTCTCTCTAGCGGTATCAAAACGACTGCAAACCCTTGCGAGTTTCTCCCACCTGACTCGCAATCCAACTCGCTGACTCAATGGGATCCGGCGAGAGTACGATCACCTCATCTACCGATCCGAAGACGGCGGATTCCGACGCGGAAACTCGAATCAAAGACGATCCTTCAGAATCTGAAGCCCTAAAAGAAGATTCGGATCAATTTAAGGAAGGAGGCGATGGCGAAGAAGAGGAGGAAGGAGAGTGCGGGTTTTGCCTGTTCATGAAGGGAGGTGGATGCAAGGAAAGCTTCATAGCTTGGGAGAATTGCATAGAGGAAGCCGAGAAGAACAGCGAAGACATCGTCACGAAGTGTATGGAGGTCACGGCTTCGCTCAAGAAGTGTATGGACGCTCACGCCGATTACTATGAGCCGATTCTGAGGGCGGAGAAGGCTGCGGAGGAGGAGGCGAAGAAGGAGCTGGAACGAGAGAAGGCGGAGGAGGAGGCCAAAAAGGAAGCAGAGGGATCGGACAAGAAAGCTGAATCTTAGGTAACTTTATGGTGTCTTGTTGATTTGAGTACCAACATTGAATTTTTGGGGAAACTGTTTATTAGGTAAAAGGGATTTTCCTTGTTGGATTCATAGTAGTGATAGGATTTTGTCTCTTGAGAATAAGCCGATTGACTCGGATCAATTGTTCGTTGACACTGCAAAAAATGAATACTCAGATTTTGATACTGCGATGTAAAATGCCTAAAGTTCATCACTTTCTTAATGCCAATGTATGTTTCTATGCATCAAGGTGGAATATGCCAAATAAAGATGGTGCCTTTTTTTGTGATTGAATATGCTTGCTCTGCATTTTCTGCCTTCTGTTTTGCCTGTCAATGTGATGATTCTATCTAAATCTTTGTCCAGTTAAGGTTTCATACATCCAAGCCTCTTCAAAACCTTCAGATCTATTTGGGTTTTCTTCATATTTAATTTAGGGTTTAACATCTTAAAAATATGTCTTCCCTCATCTTTTTGGGGTGTGAAATGAAACATTGCAAAATTTCTCTGGTTGTTTTCCTTACACCTTTGTCGAGATTCACAGATGATTTCCTCATATCTTTTGGTCTTTCCTGATATGAGTTCTTTGAACTTTAATTATGGTTTTAGTTACACTTTTCCTGCTTCAGATTTGAACTAGACCAATAAAACCTTCACTCTGCTCATTCTTCTGGTTGGTGCATCTCAGTTTTCTTTATCTGCATATTTTTATGACTTTGGTCGTATGGTTAAAGAGCTTTCAATGATCCACAAAAGAAAACCCATCTTCTTCTTATACACCACTTTACCATTTTTAATCCACTATCTCCTCCTATGCTTTGTCTGTCTTTGGGTTTTCATACCAGCGTTGCCCTCTTCCGA